TGGTGCGCTCACAGCGCTCACTGGCTGAGCGCGGTGCGGCCGGTCTCAAAAAGGACAAAAAAAAAAAAGATTTGATCTGTTAGCAGTCTTCTTTTTATTTTTTTAAAGATGACCGGTAAGGGGATCATAACCCTTGACTTGGTGTTGTCAGCACCACACTTTCCCAAGTGAGCTAACCAGCCATCCCTATATAGGGATTCGAACCTGTGGACTTGGTGTTATCAGCACCACACTCCCAAGTGAGCCATGGGCCGGCCCTTGTTAGTCTTCCAACTGCTTCCCCAGCTCCATATAAAGGCATTACATTGCATCAAGGGGAACTCTTGAGGAAGAATGACACCTAAGCAATCACCAACTTCACCTGGGTTTCCTCTTCTTTTCTTATAATAAATTCCTAGAAATGGAACTGCTAGGTCAAAAAGTAACTAAAAAATCTGACATTAACTGCTAAATTGGTCTCAAGAAAGATTACACCAGTTTATATTCCCAGTACCAGCCATACCTTTTTAAAGTTCACTAACAAGTAAGGTTGAAGAAGACCTCTCCAGACCAGTTAAATAAGTTATGGTTCAGACTGACCTGGAATAGAATATTACATATGCAACCCTTAAAAATAACACAGTGATTTTTTTTTAAAAATTACTTGGATCTATCCATATATATGTTCAAATGGAAAGCTGTCCATTATATATTTCATGAAAAAAGCAAACAGCAGAACAGTAGGTGCTGTGTGATCCAAAGTATGTAAAAAGAAAAGTGTAGTCAGATACCTAGGTAGGTAGATATAGATATGCTTGTAACAAGGGGTCTTCAAAAATTTTTACTGACCGGCAACGGGATCGCAACCCTTGGTGTTGCGCCCGCACCTTGCTCAGCCAGTGAGCGGCCAGTCTGTATGTGGGATCCGAACCCTCGGTGGGAGCGCCGCCGCACTCCCAAGCGGCGCACAGTAGCAGTGTGCCACCAGGCCAGCCCCGTATTATCTTTTAAATCTATTTTTCCACAAACTTTTTGGTTTTGTTTGGTTTTTGTAGCTGGCCAGCACAGGGATCTGAACCTGTGACCTTGGTATTACAAGGCTTTGCTCTAAACAACTGAATTAACCAGACAACCCTTTCCATGAACTTTTTGAAGTACTCTCATATCTGCATACAAAATTTTGTATACCCCAAAAATGTACCAGTGGTAGAAAGTCTGAGGGGTCAGAGGAAAAAGTTATCTTGTATCCTTTTTTAAAAAACCATGGTGAGGGCCGGCCCAGTGGCGCACTGGAGAGTGCTCTGCTTGGGAGCATGGCGGCGCTCCCGCCAAGGGTTCGGATCCCATGTGGAGACCGGTTCCCGCTCATTGGCTGAGCGCAGTGAGGGCGCAACACCGAGGGTTGTGATCCCGTTACCAGTCAGTAAAAAAGACAAAAAGGAAAAAAAAAAAAAAAAAAAACCATGGTGATATATCACTTTCATAACGAAAGGGGAAAAAAAAATTTCTTCCATTTCTACAAAACAGAGTGAGCAGGCAAGAGATGAATAAATGTTGGTCAGGATATGGAACAATAGGAATATACAACACTTACGGAAATTTAAATTGGTACACCTTTGAAAAACAACTTGGCATTACCTGCTAAAGACACACATACCCTATGACCCAGCAATCCCTCCACTAGATACTCAAGAAACTCTTCCTAATATGTCCTCAAACCTGCTGAGTTGTCTGCAACAAGATAAAGAGTTTGCACCAGAATGTAAACCAACTACTTCACAAAAAAGTACACTATTTAATTCAGCTGCTTTTTTTCTCCATAGCAAGACTCTCTTGATAAAAGAAGTGCGTTGAGAAGAAAAAACAAACAAACAAACAAACAAACAAAAAAAGAAGCACTTTTATTTAAATTCTGGCACAAATTTCTTACTTTGTCATGAATTGCCACTGTGAGTAGCAGGGCACTACTATCAAAGCAATGCATAAGAATGTTCAGAGCAGCACATTGGTAATAGTAAAAACGTGGAAACAGCCCAATTGTCCAACAGTAGAATGAATAAATAAATTGGGTATATTCATGTAATTCATATCAGAGTGGAAATGATACAATTACATTTACACATAAAAACATGGATAAGTCTTTTCACCATACCGAGCGAAACAAAACTGAGTCAAAATAGAAAATATACGGGCCGGCCCGGTGGCGCACTGCTACAGTGCGCCGCTTGGGAGCGCGGTGGCCACCGAGGGTTGCGATCCCGTTGCCGGTCCCGGTCTGGTACGGGCGCGACACTGAGGGTTGCGATCCGTTGCCGGACACGAAAAAAGACAAAAAGGAAAAAAAAAAATAGAAAATATACTTGTTTCAATTTATATAGAAGTTCAAAAGTATCCAAATAGGGCCGGCCCGTGGCTCACTCGGGAGAGTGCGGTGCTGATAACACCAAGGCCATGGGTTCGGATCCCATATAGGGATGGCCGGTTCGCTCACTTGGGAAAGCGTGGTGCTGACAACACCAAGTCAAGGGTTAAGATCCCCTTACCGGTCATCTTTTAAAAAAAAAAAAGTATCCAAATAAACAATTATGTTATTTAGAGATATAAACAAAAATGATTAAAACAATAAACAACTTACAAAAAGTCAAGGGAATAATAAACACAAAGCTCAGATTGGAGGCTACCTTTTTAAAGGAGGAAAAGAAGGGATACAGTTAACTTCAAAGATCACAACATTCTTTTTTGTAAACTTGGTGGTAAGTACACAAATGTACGTTGTTTTTGTTAATTTTTATAACTTACTCATACTCCATAAATATTTTAAATATTTAACTCAATGCTTAATAAAAAATTTTTTTGAATTGGATAAAATCACCATTTCTCCTCCCTCACTCTTAGTCCCTTGGTTGGCTCCAGCTTACCTGGTAGCTGGGTGTTACAGAGTACTGAATTCCCGTGGCTGACTGCATGGTCTCAGACACCGCTTCATACACAGGAGGAGCAGGGGCAAGCACCCGGTGCTGGTGAGGAAAAGCCTCTGTGCTGCCAGGGATTCGACGCTGCTGGGCTGCATACACTGGTGATTCCTGGTCATCCAAACGTCGCTTCATTCTGCGCTCATGCTCAGGGATGCACTACAAAACCTGCAGTAACCAAAACCAATGACATGCAAATCAATTCCCACTCCAGTATGATGTGCAGAATTTAGGACCAGTCGCTCAAGTTTAGTATAAGCTAGACTACCAGAACCGATTACCTACTTCACCTTCAAGATGATCACTGGGTAGTTCGAGTGCAAACCACCCCCCCACCCCCACCCAGTGAACAAGTTATCATGACTGAAAAAAGACAAAAATTTAACTAATATAGTTGTCATTAATTTGGTACTAAGTTGAAAAATAACATCTAATTTAAAAAATAAACATAAATTTTTCTCTTTATATTCTAGTTTTCTCTTCAAGTGGTATCATTCCCAATATTAATTATACATCCATATGCTGCAAAAACATTCAAGTGCTTCTTCTTAACTCCTCTCAAAACCTAGTACAATTGTGGGCCGGCCCGGTGGCGCACTGCTACAGTGCGCCACTTGGGAGCCAGAGGCGCTCCTGCCGAGGGTTCGGATCCCACATACAGACCAGCCGCTCACTGGCTGAGTGAGGTGCGGACGCAACACCGAGGGTTGCGATCCCGTTGCCGGTCCCGGTCCGGTACGGGCGTGACACT